CCAGCACCGTCCACAGCCCGTTAGGAACTGGGCCGCAGAGCAGCGGGTGGGCAGCCAGCGAGCTTCACCTGTGTTTACAGCCGCTCCCATCACTCACGCTGCCGCTTAAGCTCCGCCTCCTGTCGGGTCATTAGAGTCTCAGAGGAGCGCGAACCCGGCTGTGAACTGCGCATGCGCGGATCTAGGGTGCGGCTCCTTATGAGAATCTAACGCCTGATGATGGAGGTGGAGCTGAGGCGGTGATGCTGGCGCTGGGGAGCGGCTGCAAATACAGATTGTCGTTACAGAGAGGCTTGACTGCACAGAGACCATAATAAATCATAATAATAAATCACCATAATAAATCAAAACCCTATCAGTGAGTGGCAAGTGACAATGTAATAATAATAGAAATAAAGTGCACAATAAATGTAACGTGCTTGAATCATCCCAAAACCATCCCCTGCCCTGCGGTCCGTGGAAAAATTGTCTTCCATGAAACTGGTCTCTGGTGCCCGAAAGGCTGGGGCAGCTGCTGCAAGCTCCTTACAACTCTCGGATCTGGAGACGGACGGTGCTCTCCTCACCCCCAGCACCCCGTCACTTGTCTATTGGGAAAGCTAACAGGAGCCGAGAAGAAAAACTGTAAATTATTGACTCGGCTGCCTTTAAGAAGAAGTCTACAGTAAGGAAATATGAAACTATAGTGAAACTAGGCTTTACGAACAATATAATAATAATTACCCTGACCTAGAGCAGTGACAATCAAAAGTACATTCAAACACCTAGGTAACCTCAAGCCATACAGTTTTAACACAGATTCATCATGGCTATTTCATTTTCAAAAATTCTGAGTGATATAAAATGGATGCGAACAGCATTAGTATTACCATTAGTGCTAAAAAGAGATGTCTTTAGTGCTCTATCTTATATTAAAATGCGAGAACAACTATATTGCACATAAACGGACAACTGGCAATAAAAATTTCAAAAACTGAACAAAATTAGGCAATTCCTGGTTTTCTGATTGTAGGAATTATTTAACAGCAATGTAAATCACTATTACATATTATAAACACAGACAAAGATACCTAAGGAGGAAACGGGCAGGAAACAGACAAGGCCCCATGTGAAAATGTAAAGAATAAAACTACAAAGAATCTAAATGTTTTCTAAAATATATTATGTTGTAGATAAGTACGTTCTGGTTTTTAAATCTCTACTTTATTAAGATTTTACTACTCAATACAATATTTAAAAACTAAAGTCCATAAAAAACCCTTTGACAGGAAGTAAAATTATGGGATTGTTCTCATTTCAGATTTACTTGAATGTTTTTTAACCTTTTT